AATTTTCAAACAGCAGCAGGATGTAGAAAACTTTGCTCTGCAGTCAAAGTGGAAAAACTATCTGCAAATATAAAAATGAACATCTGCAAAAGTCTAGAAAGAAATTAAATGAAGTTTCAAACTAAACCAGCACCATTCCATTGTAATCTGATGAGAGGATACCTCCTGCTCTAAGTAAGCTTTAATACAACGCCAAACCTAAGCTGAGAGCGGAACCATATTCTCTAGAAGTGTTTATGCCAATAGGTAAACTGGAATCAGAGGCTGCCCAAAAGAGTTGGGTTAGTGCATCCAGAACGGTGTCAGCCTAAACACACTGGACCTCTGCACACTTTCCACAAGTGCCTGGAAGTATTTTATCTCTCCAAATGAGACTAGGCGGAAGCTGTCAAAGCGACAAGCTCCTTATCTTCCCGCTGAGCGTCTTTCACACAGATGTGAACGGCGCTCCGCTAAGAGGATTTCTGTTTTGGTTGAAATTAATTTCTAACCAGACGGATGGATTGTAATTTGCTTATTTCTGTATGGAAATGAGTTTGTTTCTGTAATCAAAATTAGTTTTAGTGGAGAATAATTAGAAACTTTGAATGTGTGTGTGTGTGTACCTGTGATGCTCTGCGCTAACCTGTGTGTGTTTTTATGTTTGTTGATGCCTGCAGGCTGCAGGAGTTTAGCTCCTCTGTGTACTGATAAGCTCTCATCCTATGCAGAGCATCCTAGACAGATTCATACCAAACTGTGGAGTCTGATGGTAATGAAAAAAAATCAGTTTTTAAAAGAAACTGCTGCAGTACAAAGATTCTAGAAACATCAGTCTATCTGAGGTTTCAAATCTTCATCTCATTTGCCTTCCTGATTTTGTGATAGCAGCCATGTTTTTGCATCTGGGGATTCGTACCTGTAGTGCCGGGTGTCTCTCAGGGCGCGGTCGCTGGGGATGCGTTCACTCTCTCTCTGGTTGAAGGCGTACAAGGTGTACGGGTCATCGCCGGGTTTCCAGCGCCGAGCGTTCAGGTAGCTCCGCTCATCAAACCCCTCCAGCATGTCCTCCCATTCTGCCTCTGAAATCTGAAAATAAGTCGGCGGTCAGATGAAGTACAGGATTATTCTAAGCCTCTGTTTTTAGACTTATTATATTTGCAAATATAAGTCTTCCCACGCTTTCATTTAATGAATATGTGTCAGTGATGGTTTTCCATATAGGCTTGTGTGAGAGTTGTTTTGCAAAAACTGTTATGGTAGGAAGTTCTGTCAGATCCTCGCTTAAAAAAACTCTGAGAAAGGAGCTGAATATCTCAGAAATTAAATCCTTTGGCAGAAGTTTTTAGGTTAAAATGCCGTCTCTCTGTGAGGACTTTGAGAATCTCTGTAAATTGGGGCCTAGATTTGCACCTGAGCAGAGACAGATTGAGAATTTATAAAGCCTGGACTATGAAATAATTGACAGATTATTTCTCTTTATTAGAGTTATTGAACTTTCTGATAAATGAAATATGAAAAAAATAACATTTTGTGGAGGTAATATGTATTTGCATTAATTTTCGTACAATAGTTTTTTTTTTGTATAATCTTTATTATGTTTTCTGTTCACTCCATGTGTCTTATAGTGTTAGTCAGGGTTTTTAACAACAAAAAATATCACATTGATGATGCAGAGATCCAGGGGTGGAAAGTAATGAATTACATTTACTCAAGTTACTGTAATGGAATACTTTTTATGAGTAATTTGTAATTTTCTGAGTAGTTTTTGAAATATGTAATTTTTACTTTTACTCGAGTAAATTTTAACTGTTCTAATGACCGATA